AGAAAAAGAGAGTGAAAGTGTGCGTGAGCGGGGTATCGGGCAGAGGGAAGGAGAGAGAATCCCAAGCAGGCTCCATGCTCCTGCTTCCGCAACCCTGGGATGGTGACCTGAGCCAAAATCAGGAATGGGATGCTCGACAGACTGAGCCACCCAGGTGCCTCAAGTTCATTCTTGGTTAAAGCATTGAAGAACAAAAACTAAGCTTTATGTTTTCACCTCTATCATATGATATCAATATAACCATATGTACTCAAGAGGCATTAAAGGAGAAGCATAGTGTAACTTAAGAGTTTTATTTATTTATTTATTTATTTATTTATTTATTTATTTATTTATTTATTTATTTATTGGCTTCTTGCCCAGCGCAGAGCCCAGTGTGGGGCTCGAGGTCACAACCCTGAGATCAAGACCTCAGCTGAGATCAGGAGTCGGATACTTAACCGACTGAGCCACCCATGTGGCCCTTAACGGTAAAAAAATTTTTTTTAATCTGATCTTAGAAGCCTGCTAAGAACCGCATGTTTATAAAGATACTTAGTTCCTTAGGTTTGTAGCCAAAGTTCAGCCTAAACAGAGGACCTGTCCTTTGCCTGTGTGTGCTGACTCGCATGCTGTCTTAGCCACTCGGCAACCAAGAGCAAGGGAGACACTTGGGGTGATGTAGGGGCGTAGTCCTTCCCGCTTGCACAGGCTGCTCTTGGCCCTCTGTCTCCTGAGCTTAGAAAGCTGCCCCTTCTGAAGAGGCTTCTCTTAGTAGGGCAGAGGAGGCCCCTCCTGCACTGTGGGGCTCTTACCCAAGCCCCCTCGTGCAAATCTGCCAGGCGGGACAGCCTGGGGGAGTCCTGCCCTGGGGCTCTGGCCCTGCAGTTGGGGCCTGATAAGGCCCTAGCAGTCAGCACAGGACACTTTGAGAAGGGAGCAGCCTGGAAGGGACTGGGGAAATGAGGGCAGTGGAGCCTGGACCGTGTCCCTCTTTGTAGCACATCTGTTTGCAAAGTGTCGACCTCAAATTCTTTCCAGGGTTTTCTGATGTCATTGAAGACGTTTCCAGTCCGCTTTTTCACCTACCGTTCGTGTGATTTCCCTTGGGTCTCAGGCTGAGCCTGGTGGGGGCAGGGCTGCGGTACAGTAGGAAGATTAAGGTTACGTGTGGACTTGACTTAGTGATGGAAATGGAAGCTGGGAACAGCATTTGGAAAATGCTTAGCGCTTAGGTTTAGTTATCAGTGGGTCTAGTATCAGAATTGCTGCTTTGCTGTTACGCGTTCCTATCCGCTTCTGGGAGAGGGCTGGCCTCGCAACCTGTCGACTCCGGGCTGGAGCTGTCCGAGCTGCCTGGTCGACTTTGTGTTTTATTTAGTCTGGGGGTTGAGTGCATCTTCTACCTCTAGAGTTGCTAACTGAAGAAAAACAATCTGGTTTTTAAAAGGTTTAAAATACAGGCTATCTAACTTTATTCTACAAAATACTAAAGCTAGTATGTGAGTGTTTGTCACGGTCACTGCCTTACATGCGTTACTTCATTTAATCCTTTCCGCTTTAGGGGCGCCTGGGTGTCTCAGTCGGTTGGGCTTCTGACTTCGGCTCAGGTCATGATCTCACAGTTCGTGGCTTCGAGCGCCGCGTCGGGCTCTGTGCTGACAGCTCAGAGCCTGGAGCCTGCTTCGGATTCTGTGTCTCCCTCTCTCTCTGACCCAACCCCGTTTGTGCACTCGCGCGCTCTCTCTCTCAAAACTAAAAAAAATTAAAATCCTTTCCACTTGATTTCATTTTCATCCTGTAATTATTTTTAATGCTCACATTTCATGAAGGGAACTGAGGAATAATTTCAGTGTTCTGAAGCCATCGTACGATCTGTTTGAGAGGGAGGGAAAGAAGGAAAGAGCGGGGTCCATGGAGGGAAGGACCCAGATGAATCTAGTAACATTAACCATCACCTCCAGTAATTCTGTTCTGCAGTGAGCTTGGGAGAGGGTCGGAATCACCCCTCCCTCTGGAGACTGACCAGCCCTGCCTCCTCGCACGTTCTGCTGTGCAGGAGTTTGACCCTCGTGTGCTTCTCCAGGGAGAAGTGGTTTTCTGGGCTGTGGAGTAAGCCGTGGCAAAAACACCTCCCTGGGCCACGGGTCTGATTAAGCCGGGGCCAGATACTGTGTAGAGTTTTAGACTTAGGTGCATCTCGCTGAAAAGCATGATGTGAAATTCACGTGATTATAGGAGTGGGTGGGAAAAGGTCCCACTTAGTGGTGAGCGACCACACCCTCACCCTCCTGCCGTCGTAGCCGGTGAGCCGTGAGCATCCTGGTGTGTCCTCCACCGTCCCCTCCTGTCTTTCCTCCAGAGCCAGGCTGCTGGCTGTTCCTAGAGCCTGGCGTCTGTCCACACTGGCACCTTCTTGAGGGTGTCGTGTTCGGGCATTTTGTTACGTTTGTATCTCCTCTCATCAGACGTTTCACCCAGAGTCAGCCAGCGGGTCTGCTGCTCCCCAGGTTCCCTGTCCCCCTTCTCACCTGTCGGATTTTTGACACCCTCTCCTGGAATCCTGTCATTCCTAGGATTCCTGCCGCAGGCAGTAGCTGTGCATGGTTCTGGGCTTGAAATTATTTCAGCGACAAGAAATTAAATTTATTTGTAAGTTGTGTCACAAGGGCTACGTTAAACCTGGCTACAGTTGGGATGGCTCTCAGCTTTGTCGTCGGGCTCGTCGAGTGGTTCAAAGTGGTGGTAGCTGGTCGTCCACCCCTGTTAGCTTCTGAAAACACCATTCGTCGCGCATTAGAAATTAGTGTAGTTCTTGTAGTGGGATAAAAATGTGAGAACATGTAAATGTAACTTTTCAAGTAAGGCTGTGAGTTCTTGCCTATGCCCTCGCCAGGGCCCGGAACTGCCGCCTCTGTGCTGAGTCACAGGCTGGAGCCCCTTCGGCCCTCAGTGGCCTTGTCAGGGGGAGAGCCGCCCCTGCTCCACGCTCCGAGCCTCCCACGTGTCAGCCGCCGCAGTCAGCCAGTGGGGCGGAGCTCGAGCTGGGACCGAGCCCAGATCTGCAGGCCTCCGCCCCTGTTCTCAGCTGGATGCTCTCATGTCTGTGCGTCCTGATCTCTGAGGTGACTGTTCAAGTACTTGCCTGGGGGGGGGGGGGGGGGGGGGGGGGGGGGCGTCTGCCGT